ATAAAACCTTGCCCCACCACATCGTGTATTGAAAAGGGGCTCATTTATTTTCAGAAAGCCGACACCATCTTTGGAATTTTTTATCCATATTCTCATTCTGGATGGTCGATGGTGAATGCATCAGGTTCTCTGACACATTGTGGTGCCTTTAAACCTCACTGTCAGCAGTGGGGATATTTAAAAGGCACTGCTTTTACATTTTTATTCAGGATCTGCGTGTGCCCTGAACTGTCCCGCTCCCCGCTGGCCGATTCTCTCCCCCCTCCCCTTCTCCTTCTGCCCTGGGCCAGCCCCACGGTTCCCGCCAGCTGATTCTCTCCCAATCTCTCCTGGACCCAGCCAGTTCCCCCCCGCGATCTCCCCTGGCCAGCCCCTCTGCTCCTGCCCTCGCCCCGGCCAGACTTGCTTCTGCCAGCCGGTTCCCCCCGCCCCAGCCAACCCTGTTTCCATCTGCCAGTTCCCTTCCCTATCTCCCTCTGGGCAGCTCCACTGCCCCAACCCTGTTTCCCCGCATCCCATTACATCCAATCCCCCCCGCTCCACAGCCAGCAATAAGAGCTCACCTGGTAACCCTCACTGTGCCTCTGCTGGGAGCCTGAAACATACGGCTGCATCCGCCCAGCCCAGCTGAGGGCTTGGGGAACCTGGCGCTGCACAGGCAGTCCGGGAGCCCAGAACACCTTGGCAGCCATCCTGAGGCCCGGTATTTTTTTCCCGTGGCCCAATAGTGGGCCGCAGCCCATAGTTTGGGAAATGCTGCTTTAGATATCAAGGCAGTTTTTTAGCTGACTCGCTATTAGAAAACAATTGCCTTACACCATTTGGGGGGGAAGAGGTTTATAGCCACACACCAGTTTTGTGATTCTTGTGACGAGGTGTGTAACCCACATGAGCCCTGAACAGGTGGAATAGGCCAATTAACTTTAAAGGCTGCATCTGGAGGAAAGCCAGGAGCTGATGGGGCCTAATAAATGATAATGCCCAACTGGAAGAGGAGCTGGGTTAGGCTTATTAAAAAAAAAGAACCGGGGGGTGAGGGGGAGCGGTGCACTCTGTAGGGAGAGGCACTGTAGTCAGTCTCTAGAGAGGTAGGAAAGGCCTATGGAAACAGCAACAGAGTCAGAGCTTGAGCAGAGCATGGTTGTTGGGCTCAGGGTCCTTGGGCAGGAATCTGGAGTAGTGGCTGAGCCTGGGTTGCCCTGCCAGCTACCGGAAAAGTGGCGCAGACTTGGCAGTGGATCAGAAGACTGCCTGAAACAGCTTGTCCCGTGGGACTTTGATAATATGAAAAGAGAAAACTAAATAGTGACAGGTCGAGAGCTGAGACATGAAGAAGCAGCATCCTGGCTCCTGAGAGCTACCACAGGGCAAGTCACAAAGAGGGAGTAGCCTGAGTGGGGAGAAAGAAAGAGGCCAAGGGTGAGCAATCAAAGACGGGGATATCAGATCAATACAGAATCCCCAGATGCAGTAACAAGGAGGGACCCCAGAACTGAGTGAACCCCAAGACAACTCTATGAAGAAGGGTATGAAGTTCACCTAACTTTATTCTAAATATAAGAGTCAAGTACTTATTTCTTTTCCAGCGATTCCTGATGCCTTAAAACAAGAGCTCTCTTTCATTAACTCTGTATTTTCACATATTTTTCAGCAAACGTAACAGTCATCTCAAAAGGCACCTGGGATTCTTCGGGCAAACGTTTCTCCTCTGGCACTTGTATCTTTTCAACTTTTGTCATGGCCGTCAGCATTAATGGCTCTTGCTTGACACCATATACTAGATAAGAATGAGAGAGAAAAGAATTATAGAAAAATGGCTGCTATTTCCACATTATAGCCAACACTGGTATCAATTCTTGAATCACCAAGCACATTTTAGGGCTTGCTTCAAAATGAGAGGATAAAAAACAAATATGGCACAATATGGTGCATGAATATGTTAGAGGATGTTCTCTTCTGGGATTTTAGTTGCTATGGGCCAAATTCACCCTGGTATAATTTCAGTAGAATTACACTACAGATTAACATTGCCCTATATTTTTATTAATCTTTTAACAGATTGCGCAAGGAAGAGCAAAGAAACACTAATTCATAAATCCAAGGCTGTAAAAAAGATTTAGCTAGTCATTTCATATATTGAGACACTAATGTATGATATTTAAATTATGTTCAGTAGATAAATGAGCATAACTATATGGATTTGACAGCAGAGATTTTTATTTTCAGGAAGCTCAGCTAAGTGTAGCCAAACACAAAATTAATCCATCATTGTTTGCTCATCTGAGCATGCAGCTTTTTCCTGTTGTAAATGTCACCATACAGAGCAACTGTGCCTGTATAATAGGCACTACCCACCTTGTGGTTCATGAGTGTACCCACTCCAGGCTCTCGATTCCTGAGCCTTCACCTCTCTTGGGCCAATGCCTACATCTGTCTCCCTCTTGAATAGGGATGTAAAATCCTGTTTAATTGGTTAACCAGTTAAATGTAATGTTTCACTGATTAATTGATTTTAAAAGGGTGCCTGGGGGGCTGCTCCTATCCCCCGTGGCCAGGCTGAATCAGCTCCCACCACCACAGACGGGGGCTACCTCTGCCTGCAGCACACCCAAGCCACACCTATAGCCAATAGGGCCTACTCCTGCAGCAGGCTCAATATAGCTGAAGCACCCCCTGCCTGGGACCCCACTGGTTAACCAGAACCAGTAAACTGGTTAATCATTCACATCCCTACTCTTGACCAGGGTTTTTTCAGGCTTCACAGTTCCCTGCCTATACTGTGGTATTTGCAACAAGCTACACCGCCCAAAAGTCTGCTGTCTGCACTTTGCTTTCTCTCCAGAGGCTAGAACCAGTGTATGTGTGTAGTTACACATTAACACCAGCACTCTGTTTAAGCAAGCACATATTGTTTTGATGATGAAAGCATTACTTAGAAATCAATGGTTTAGGACAGAAGCTCATACACACGAGGGATATGAATGACTAATCGACTAGTATATCCAATAATCAAATGCTTATCAGATAGTCAACACACTAGTCGATTAGTCGCTTCTCCTTCCCCCTTGCTGCCTCTATCAGAAAGAGGCAGCAAGGTGGTGGTGGTGGGGGGCGTGCTTCAAAGCAGCAGTGCCGCATGGAGCCCAGGGTCAGTTCCCCGCTGACCCCGGGCTCCATGCAGTGCTGCCGCTATGAAACGCTGCGGGGAGCATGGGGCCAGTAGAGGACTGCTTGAGTCCCCCACTGGCCCTGTGCTCCCTGCAGCACTTTCGTCTTTGAAGTGTAGCAACAGCCTTAAGGGTGTTGCTACACTTCAAAGGCAGAGGCACCTTTATCAACTAGTTGAATAGTCGATGCAAATTGCATCAACTATTTGATTAGCCAATTAATCTACATTTAACGTCCCTAATAGGCACTACCCACAGTATAAATTATACCTAAATTACAGTTGCAAAGATGTTTCTCTCTAGGTCCTTCTCTCTCACACACAAAACACACTCCTTTCCCTCTAAAATAGATTTCTATTTGTAACTTTCAAGTAAATGAAGATTCCCAACCTTCTGCCCTATGGCTTAAGATTTGTCCTATAATAATAATTCATCAAGACAGTATATGGCACTTCTATACAAATGTGAGAGCAATGTAAAGATGTATAAAAATACTTGAAAGAGCTATCTGTCTGCAATTTAAGGATGATCATGAATCCTGGTGAAAATGTATTATTGCTGAAACTAGACCAGAAGTTCTTACCTGCCAGGCAAGTTTATTCTTTCAAATTAGTTCAGGAACAATAATAGGAAAATTAAGAAGTGGTAGTAAAAAAAAAGTTATGTAACTTTAGCAAAATAAGGAGAAGGAGGACAATCAATGCTTGCTAAAACCTTATATATCCCAGCAGAAGAGTAAACAAAATTAAAACTACCACTTCTGCAAAGACCAGGGGAAGGAAGTCGGTTTTTATTTTTGCAGAGACAAGCAGATAAGACAGAAAAGTCAAACAGAAGGCAAAGTGAATCATGTCTCACTGGAGACCAACATGGAACCCAAGAATCAGTTCAGCTCTAAGGCCCCCATCCTGCAACGAGCTTCTGTAGGCAGGACTTCTGAGCCAAACTGCACAGATGAAGCAGTCTGCCCAATCACTGGTCATTGCAGGACATGGGCCCAACGTGCAAAAACATTAGTAAAAATAAGTCAGAAACAATCACAAGATCAAATAAAGACCTAAAATGCTACCCCATAGAAAACTATCTAGGCAAAACAAACACCTTATAAAAACAGACTGAACAAACTCAAACAAACAGTATTTTCAATCTTTAAATTGTCTTACATGAGTAGACAGCTTTCCTCCCAGCCATCATTTTGGTAAGTCATACAAAAAAACCAAGTCTATGATCCCTTTCCAGCAATCTTTAGCTAACAAATATTGTTCTTACAGCTGTCTGCATTCTCCACAATATCACTGGAAGGCAGTTACTCAGCACAATAAATAAGGCTCTGAGTCTGGAGAGCCATGTACACACTCTATGTGAATAGTCCCAATAAAATCAATGGGGCTACTCACAGTGTGTAAAGTTAATTATGTTGCTTATGGCTTTGCAGTATTGGAGCCTAAGGAATTACATTGTCTTCTGTTCCAACAGCATTTCTGGGCAGAATGGAATCAGTGTCCACCCAAAGAAAAACAGAAAAAATTGGCAGGGACAACAAAAAGGGG